AAATATGAAGGGAAAAAAAAAAAAAATCTCATCAAGATTATGTAAAGCTATCTGACATCTTGCTAGCTAGGACAACATACATCAACATGAATTTACTGTTCCTAGTACCTTCACTTGGTCTCTTTCTGGATATGTGACAGTAATCTTTACTGCTTCTTTTTTATGAAACATTCAATCCAATATTTTGAGTCCCAAATAGTAACATTGGAAGTTTGATTTTGTAAGGTGCTTTTGGTGTGGAAGATTGGACAAGACAAATAGCCTCATCTTCTCTTGTGTTAATTTTCTTGCATCTATTGGACATGATCATTATTAATTAAGTGTATGTTAATTTGTCACATTAGCTCTTTAGACAATTTGTCTAGTTTCTCAAGACAAAATTTAATATATTTAAATAGAGTCGTCTGATCAAAACCCATGATTTTAAATAATTTTTTCAATTTTAAAATCGGCCACTCAAAATTGGACTCGAAAGAAAAAAAAAGTGACTACCGGCGAACTACCCATGAAAGAAGAAAAGAATGAGATAATTAAACTGATAATAGGTTAAGAGGAAAGGAAAAAAAAAAATGTGGTCTTTTTTAAGCTATAGTATTATAAAAATTTTAAACCTTTCAAAAAAAAAAAAAAAATGATTGGCAATATAGGAAATACCTTTCAAAGTTATGGTAAAAATAATATTGTTGCCATTTCTCTACCACTTCAACCATATCCAAATATTAAAAAACACAAAATAAGACAATAACTTTGTTTTATTATATTCTACAAACACACATATGTAGACTAGCTAAAGTAGAGGATGATGGGACAATTGTTTGTTTGGCTTCTCTCATTGATTAGCATCTTATTCTGTTTTATCTATCTCATTTTGTTGAGTCATTCCAAACAAATATAGAGAGATAAATAATTATTAATTTCCATAAAATTAGTAATTTTTGTATGAAGAAAATTCAAGTCAAGTCCATAGCTGACTTTCATTAATGCATCCTGTGGATTTTTTGTTTTCAAGTTGGGAATGTCTTTGTAAAGCAGTATTTGGCTTATTCTTTCTTTTTTTTTTTCCAAAGTTATTAGTATTATTATATTCTAATTTATTTATTTTTATTATAGAAAACATATACTATTACACACATAATTAGTGATAGAACACCTTTTTTCATACACAAATTATTACTAGGGAATTTTAAGTTAATTGATTACATTTTTAATTCAAAAAAATTAAAAATTATTTATTTTTACAAAATTTAATTTTGCACATTGTGAAATAAAATAATTATTTGATTGACGAATGAAGCTTAATCAAAGATTTTTTTGGTGAAATTTTATAAATTCAAGTTGACTAATTAATTCTTCTGTTGTTTCCTTCTCGATATTTTAGTCATTTGAATAATTAATTTTGTATCTTCCATTTGTTTTTAGATGAGAGAATTTCAAAAGTAGTAGTTTTTTTTTTAAGTATTGAGAATGGAAATTGGAATCTAAAAGTAATAATGTTTTTTAATTTCGCGAAGTTAACATTTTCAAAATATATTGCAGTTGAAAAAGATACATGGTATACCAAAAGAAAAAAGGAAATGACTTAATGGTCCCCCATTTTGAAAGAATCAACGAGTATAGCCATTAAATTAATACCCTAAAGTGCTGAAAACCCCTCAACTTTACAACATATTGTAAATGTATTAAAAATGGACCTTTGTATTTAGATATCCTAATTTGAAAAATTAAATATAATAAAAATCTACAAGTAAATTAAAATTAAACTTTTAATTAAATAATATAAAAGCGACTCCATGTCCGAATTTGGATTAACATAACAATAAATTTAATTTCCTCTTTCAATAGGGAAGAAAACATGAAAGTATGGAGTTATAGAGGGACCAAAATGTAATTGATCCACACAATTATTTTCTCTAACCAATTCACAACGGATATAAAGCTCTCAGCTATAAAAAGATTAAGAGCTTTGTGTCTCTCTATTTTCACTTGGCAAAAAGACTCTACAAAACATCTATGACAGAGCAATTTTAGTATTATTGATAAATATCATCATGTTTGGAATGTAATTGAAACTATACAATAATTGTACATGTGCCTTTTAAAAAATTCTTTTTTAAAAATATAAAATAATTTATTAAAAATAAATAAAGATCAAAAATACATTTTTAGAAAACTGCTTCAAACACCCAAATAGAGCACATCAATTCAAATCTTCTAAATCCATGGATAAACCATTAAAAAAAAAAAAAGAAATTTCTTGTCTATATCTGGTGTATAAATAGTTCCATACACTAAATTAATTAAAAAATATTACTGTTTTATCATTTTTCTTTTAGTTGATACTCAGAAATACTCTCGTCTGTAATTGATTTAGTATATACTATTTTTCCCCGAAAAGATAGTATATACATATTATTGAAATTTTATATTTGAATTTTTTTTTTTCTATAAAAAGCAAAAAAAAAAAAAGGTAGCACTACTAAATCTTTTTTTTTTTTTTTTTTTTAACTGCCTATCAAACAACAAGAGTGCGGCACATCAATATCAAATCATTCTAAATCCATGGATAAACCATTAAAAAAAAAAAAAGAAATTTCTTGTGCCTAATATCTGGTGTATAAATAGTTCGCTATACACTAAATTATTAAAAAATATTACTGTTTTATTCATTTTTTTTTCTTTAGTTGATACTCAGAAATACTCCATCGTCGTAATTGATTTAGTATATACTATTTTTCCCGAAAAAGATAGTAATTATACATATTAATATGAAATTTTAATCATTTGAATTTTTTTTTTTTCTAATAAAAAGCAAAAAAACAGGTAGCACTACACAAATCTTTTTTTGTTTTTTTTTTTTTTGAAATAGTGACAGTTTAATATTTTTTTTTTTTTTTTTTTGAATATGACAGCTTAATAGTAAAATTGACACTTAGAATTTTGATTCAGGTAAGCAACAGAGTAGGTTTGACTAAAAATCAAGAAGACAATAATTTCTTTTCTAGAAAAATCTAAATTGTTGCCATTTCTGTATATCCCTCAACCATGGGTTCATCTTTCCATTGGTTTGGACATATCTGAGTTTGGTTGTAGGGCTGGACCTATGCCATTGGGTTCATAGTCATGTAATGTCTGCCTTTCTATATATCATGACTATGTAGTAATAACAGATTAAAGGTTTATAATTATAGTTAGATTCATATTCTTTAATAAAATATCACATGCTATTATTAATTAATACTGACATGCTATTATTTAACAAATGCCAACTTAACAATCATAAATTAAAAAAAAGAAAGCATTTTATGAATAGTTGCTGAGTGTTTATTTTTTTATTATTGTGGAATAATAGCATATAAAACTCAAGTCTTTTTGCTTATACAATGACTTAAAACACGTGGCAATCAGGTGGTTCAAAGATGGATGAATTTTATTTTTTTGATGAATTAAGAAGGAAGAAAAACTTAGACGTATTTTACTCTTAAAATATAATTTCTTTCACATATGAGTAAAAACAATAATTTCAAATATATTTGTTACATATTAAATATAATATATAGTAAAAACAAATTTTTTTTTTTTTTATGTATAAAATCATTTACATGTTGAACCTCCTAGGTAAATACACTTCTATGTAAAAGTCAATTGGCACATGTAAAAACATGTGTCAATTGAGAAATTAAGTGATTAGAAGAAATTGGGACTTCTAATATCAATAGTTTGATCTATTTATCAACATATTGTTCTTGTAATAGTATCCTAGAAAAGAAATTTATACTATACATGATTGAGTTGATTTAGGTGGCATGACTATGATTGCACCAAATAAGTAAACAAATAAATATTAAAATTAGGTACAAAACATTTAATTAAAAATAAAAAAAAACCTACTTTTATGATTAACCCATCTTTATATGTTCTAATCCTTCCCATCAAGCTATTTAGTTACCCATTAATTAGGGCTAAAGCTTTAGATTCTTGACTTGCAACTTTGTAGGCAGGATGTTATCATGTTCTCTTTAGAAAGACAAAGATTGGTTCTCTCTCGCTCTTTCTTTACCCTTTTCTGTTTCTTTCCCCTTTTCTCTATTTTCAGAGAGGAATTTGATTTCAATATCTCCCTATTTAAAAATTAAATAAAAATGGGTTTACTTTAATTTTTATTTAAAAAAAAAATTCCACTAAACATTCTAATTGATATCTTTATGTTAGCTGCAAAAAGAAGCCACGTGGTCAGCTTTAAAGATGTACTTTTTTTCTTAAAAAAAATAAATACAGTAAACAAACAGAACAAGCAATCACAGATTAGGGGTTTTGAAGCAGAGGATCAGCCAATTAAGAGAAGGATCAAAGAACAACAAGTGAACCCCAATCTTGTAAATATGCCCTACACAAATGGGCATTTATTATCTGACCCAAAACCTCAAGAAACCTCATCCTTCCCACAGTGTAAATGGGACCCACTTTTTGTCTGCTGCATTACTACTAGCTAATTGAACAAAATGCTTCAAATGGAAATATTTTATGTGTTATTTAGATTTATATATTAATTAGTCACTCTAATTTCGGATTAGAATACAACCACTCCTAAATCTTTTTTTAATGGTTTCTGTCAAGTTTGTTGTGCTTGTTGGTAGGCTGAAGCCTAAAGCTATACGTGGTTCAAGAGAATTCTTCAAATTTATAATCAATAATACCATATTTATTTTAATTTGAATATATTTAATCAATAATACCATATATTTTTTAATTTTAATTGAATATATATATATATATATTATATCATACTATATATATATATTTATCTATAATATAGTATATGCAAAAAAAAATATATGAAAAAAAAAATCTGTATGTACCAAAAGCAAGGAAGGTGGAGAGAATCTAGAAATACCCATAATTAAGCTTAATTTCCTTAAAAACCCAGAAAGAAAATGAAACAACAAACAAGTAAATACAGGAGTGGGGTGGAGAGGGAAAAAATAAAAGAAAAAAGGAAAAAAATGTAATAAGAAAGAGAGAGAGAGAGAGAGAGAGAGTGAGTGAAGAAGAGAAAAAGCAGAGAATAAAAAGAGACCGGATGTTGACAAATTTCATGTCACTGTTCTTAGAAGGTCGTTTGTTTGTGTAAAGATTTTCTTATCTGGGATCTCTCTCATCTTCTCTCTCTAGCATAAATAAAAATACTATCTTTCTCTCTCTTGTAAAATAAAAATCATATTTTTATATTATTTTTCTTTCTTTTTGTTGTTGAGAGAGAGAGAGAGAGAGAGAGAGAGTGGCCCAGCAGATCGAAATCTCCTTTCTTTTGTTCAATTCTGGAGACGATCTAAGCTCCTTTAATGGAGTTCCAATAACACCCACTTTGTTCTTCGCTGTATATTTGTTGTTTCTTTTAGCTTTATCTCTCTGTATGTGTTCTTGATAGCTTCAGTCTTTAGAAATTTATGAACTTTTGTCTATGGTGTGAAGACCACTGTTGAATAATTGAATCCATTGGAGGGATTCTTTAGGGGAAGAGATAAGAGGATGTGGGTCTGAGGTAATTTATTTATTTATTTACTTTTTTTTTTTTTACTTTATGGGTAATTTGATTTGTAGTTTTTTTTTAAATGATTTGATTATTTGGGTTTTACTTTACTGGCTGATTTATTTAATGTATGAGTTCTGTTTGAGTTTGATAAATTGTTAGGTTTATTGCCTTTCTAAATTTGTCATACATTTTTTCTAATGATTATTGTTGATTGTACAATTCACTGAATTTTCTTTTCTATCCTTTATTGTTGAAGGATTGATTTGATGGGTAATTTCGATTCATCTTGAGCTCAGAATCTAATATGTAGATTCCGTTGCTATTATTTGCGGATATGTTAGTTCAGATTGTGGTTGGAAGGGATCTGTTTTGTTAACTTTTATTTATGATTAATTCATCTTTTTCTTTAATAACTAGAAGGGAATATACCCTAATTTTTCTTATTGATAGTTGAGTTTCTTAAATTTCCAGCATGTTGGGTTTAGCCCCAAAATTCAGTCTTTATGCCTCATCAAAATTCAATCCTTTTTTCAGGACTGATGTGGATATCTAAGAGTATGGCAGTAGATTGATTATGTCCTGGTTTACGTTTTGGTGTTTAAACTATTCGGTATTTGAAGCCCACAAGTCCTGTTAATCTGGATTCGCACTAGGCAGACCACGAGTTGGGTAAGCGTTCTCTCACGAGTGTTTATATAGAGACTGCTTAAGAGTCAAATTCTTTATGAGATTTATCAATGTGGTCAATGGTTCCTTGGATGTAATGTTTAGTGCTTCTAACTTCTAGGCGAGTGAAGGTTTGGAAGGGTCACTTTTTATTAGTTATCAGCAGAATATTGGGAAGCAAGAAGGGTCTTCACATCCTACTTTATTCAACGAGAATGTGATTTGATTTACTTATTAGCAAGCCATGTCTCCTGCAATATTTCCTCGTTGCTAGTGACTTAAATGAATGAATCAAATGTGAATTACAATTCTAGAAGTTGCATTGTGTTGATTTTTAGTCACTGTAATAATTTTAGAAGTCTTTACAGTATAATTTGCACATTGTCCTCTGTTCTGGGAGTAATACTATTTATTGGCTGTCTGGGTTCTTCGCTTACCTCGTGTTTATACCTATTTTGAGAGCCAGGACATGTTTAATGGATGGTGAATTGACTACTGAAAATGGTTCCCTCAGTAATTTTTAGCTCAGATCTGAAGTTGGTATCAGAATCAAACTGATACACTTTAGTTAAGACTTTTTAAGGATTCTAGAATGCTTATCTTTTTAGTATGACTTTTGTGTATGGCATGACAAACCATTTCTAGACCACTCAATTACTCTATTTCCATTGAGTCAAATGTTGAGCTGAAAGAAGTCTTTGAAATTTCTTAGAAGTTTGGTCTTTTAGCTCACAATTAAATTAAGCAGTAGTGGTCAGCTTTGGATTTTTGTCTGTCTACTAAAATCTAGTGCGATCAGATATTGTGGTCATCTTTCAAGTATACTTTTCACTTTTGCACTTTCATATCCATATGCTTCTCAACTTTCAATTTCTTTTATACGGTTTCTACCCTAATCAGCTGGAAAATCTTGTGTTGACATCTCTGTAGCTTCCAGTCCTGCTTATTTTCTCATTACAATCATTATCAGGTATTTATTTATCCTGTTTTCAGGTGGATAATCTTCTGTTACTAGATGCATCAAAGTAAAGAAGATGTGTGGTTGTTAGATTAATAAGTAACGAAAAATAGGTGTTAGGATAATCTATGCCGCATTCATTCAGGTCATTGGCATCCATTTTATGTCAGGTTTGTGAGGTCATGGATATATGGGCATGCATTACGAAATTTTGAACCTATGTTTAAACCTAGGAATGTTAGGGTTTCAATATCGTGGTTCTTATGATCCGGCTTATTATAAAGTGAAACTATATAAAAGTTGATCATTTTGTTAATAGTGCCATATCACATTGGTAGCTTTTCATCTAGATCATGCTCATGATTTATTAAGCTGCAAGTTATTGTTATCAGAAAGATCACATAGTCTGATGCATGGTGAACTTCAACTTTTTTTTTTTTTTTTTTTTTTTGAAAGAAGCTCGTGATTGTTATTAGTTTTATGTTATTTATTCAAGTAACAGAAAAATAGGTGTTAGGAATAATCTAGGAGGTGTCTTATTCAGGGTCATTGGTCAACACTCCATTTTATGTTCGGTTTGGTGGGAGGTCATGGATATAATGGGCATCGCATTACGAAATTTTTTTGAACCTATGTTTTAAAACCTAGGAATGTTTTAGGTTCATATCGTTTGGTTCTTATGATCGGCCTTACTTAATATAAGTGAAACTAAATAAATGTTGATCATTTTGTCTAATATGTGCCATAAATCACATTGGTTAAGCTTTTCATCTAGATCAATGGCTCAATTGATTTTCTACTATCAGTATTAGTCTTTGCAAGCTTTTGTTCAGAGAGAGATATAGAAATGTATATTCGACTTTTAAGTAGTGATTGTCTATCGGTAGTAATTACATTCTTAATAATATTTTTATTTTATATTTTCTTTTGTGTAAGTAGATGCTTTGATAGGAGAGATCTTAACCACTGTGAGTTAAAGTATTTAGTCTTGTTTATGTGAGATGGTCTATATAAATATGTTATGTCTGTAGAACTTAGACTATTACATTCTATTTCATGTTTCTCGACTCACTCATATCATTTTCGTATTGGATATTGTAGGCCAAGAAATAGATGATGTACTGTAATCTTACTAGACGCATAATTCTATACATATTAAATGGTGTAGCAGATATTTGTAATTTTTTTTTTTTTTTTTTTTTTGTGACGTAGAGCTTTGAAATAGGAGAATTCTAACCACGGAGTAAAGTATTTGTGTTTGTCTATGAAATGTCTAAATTGTTATTTGTAGCAACTTAGACTAACTTTTCTATATTATCATGTTTTGTACTTTCATTTTCTTGGATCTCGAGCACAAGAAAATAGATGTCTTCTGAACTTACTAGACTATTATGAAAATAGAAATGGTGTAAGAATTTTACTAAATTTTGTTTTCTGTTTCTTTTGATGACTTTTATTATTGATATCTTATATTATTGATTTCTTATGCCAATGCCACTTTATGTTTGTCTGAACCTGTCACTGCCAGAAGTTTCTCAGACACTCCCAAATATGGGCTATATGAGTGGGTTTTCTGAGGAAAATTTTCTTTCAAGGGTTGTATAATGCTCTCTTTCAATCCTTTTTTTCCCTCTAATCTCCACATTATGTTTCGATGATAACTGGAACAGTTGCTGCTTTAGGAAACAAACTTGGCTTGGAATTAAATTGATCCAGTCATCATAGCTTTTAATCTGTGCTTTGTTTGTTGAGATACGTTGACTGTTACACGTTTGCTGTAATGTTACTTCAATTAGGAAGCAGAACACCTGTATGCATCAATGAAGTGAGCTTGTAATTAATGTTTTCCCTCTCTATCTTTCTGTGGAATTATGAGAGCCCAAAAGTTTCTGAATTTGTGGCACTTTGGTCTAACGCTAGTATAACATGATTGTCATGTTTCTTTATTGGTTTCCAGGAATGGGAACAAAAGTACAGTGTGAAAGCTGCTTCCCTGGGTCCTTTTCAATGAGGGATCTTAATGAGGATTCTAATAGTTGTAGCTGGCCTCTATATTACGGAGATGGAACATTCCCAAATGGGCAATACTACAATGGATTCTTGCCAAGGTCCATTGCAGATGTATATTCAGGATACGACAAGGATATAGTAAAGCAGACAATGCTGGAGCATGAGGCCATATTTAAGGATCAGGTACTCTTGATTTCAAGTTCCTTTTTCCAATCTGTGAAATTTTGTATTCTTCTCCTTTGAGCATTGGGATGATCATGTGATTTTAATTTAGAAATCATCCACCTTGTATGGATCATTTGAAGTCAACTTAAGCAAATGTCTGCATTACTTTATTATTTGCTAAACAACTGAATGTATATGTATTTTCTCTTATTTTTCTGTCTAGCTGTGTGAACTTCATCGCTTATACAAAATACAGAGGGACTTAATGGATGAAGTTAAAAGGAAAGAATTGTATAAAAATCGGATGCCTATTGAGACATCATTGTCATCAAGCCCCTTAGCATCTCAAATTACATCTGAAGATGCTCGGAAGTGGCACATACCTAGCTTCCCCTTGGCAAATTCTGTTTGTGCAGGACCATCAACTTCAGGCATTGAAGACATGCATTCTCCGTTGAGTTCTATGAAAGGAAGCAGTTTGCAAGCTAGTCCCTTGCTATCCCAAAATGGAGGTACTTCGAAAGATGTGGAAATGCTGGATTCAAGACCCACAAAGGTGAGGAGAAAGATGATTGATCTTCAACTTCCAGCTGACGAGTACATAGATACTGAAGAAGGGGAACAACTTAGGGATGAGAGTATATGTGGTATTTCTAGTTTATTGCCAAATAGGTATCATAAAGTTGTACCTGAGAATGGAATAAATCTGCTTATTGGTACTGGTGGGAAGAATAATTGCCAAGAAGAAACATTGCAATCTGAATCACATACAAAAACCAAAAATAACTTGGCTGACCTGAATGAGCCAATTGAGGTTGAAGATAATAGTGCATCTGCAAATGGTCTTCTAGGCTGTACTAACTCCCAGTATGAGATTCAAGGGCATGAGCTTGCTGCTAAACCCAAATCACAGTTTCATGGTTTTCCCAAAGAAATCTTACTGAGCTCTCGTAATGCAAGCAATAATGGGACTGTTAATGATCTGCATTTACAGAATAATGCAAATGGAAAACTGTGGTTTCCCCATATGCTTGACTCAGGTATGACTTCTTCATGAAGTTGCCATTTCAGTTTCTTGGTTTCACTCAAACTCTTAATTCTTCAAACTTTGATCATTTAGTTAAGTGATCTGATCTAATTCATAGGTATGTTTTTTAAGGAAGTGTTTCATAATTTTTTTTTCTCATCTAAATCCTATAAATCATACCAAGTAACAGAGTTGGAAAAAAATATAGAACTTAGATTTCAGTTCTTGAAAATAAAGGGAAGTGAAAATGTTTAAAACTAAATGTTGGCTTGCAAAACATGTCGTGTATTCCTCTGTTTTTCTTGGATGATCATTTTTCCTTTCCACTAGTTCATGGACCATCTTACAATTTGACCATTGTGATTCAATTTGGAAATCTGTCAGTTCACAGACTTTTTTGTACTTATGGTTAAGCAGTTTGATAGAGCCCTCTAGAATAGTTCCATTTGGTTCTGATGTTCTCATATGATGCCTGCTCACAGGGAACAGTAAAAACAACCTGAAGTCTGTTTCTCAAGGTTTCCAGCCAGAAAGGTTGCCTTCATCTTCCCAGCCAGTACAGGTTCTGTTAAACAAAACTAATGAACCTGCAACTCTTTTTCTTGCTGATCCAAGCAAGGTAGATCAGTTGAGAGAAATAACAGTTCGTGGTTCAGAACTCTCTGGAAGCAATCATGAGGTCTCCACTAATAACCATGCAGGTTCACTTGTTGCTTCCAATATAGCCAGTCAATATGTAATTGATCCTTCTTCTGATTTGAGCAACTCCTGGTCTCGCTCCATTTCATCTTGGGAAAAGCTCAGTGGTAGCTTAAGCCAGAGGTCAATGTCCGTTCAAATGCACCCATATTTGAATTCATCTGCAACCTTGAGTAGGAGTTCTCAGTCATCAACTCAAAGCCATGGTGTTTTTGGAGAGCGGTGGAATTATAACAGCAGTTCTACATCTAACATGAGAGTTGGAAGTGATATGCCTGAGCAAAATGGATTTTATCATGGGTCCTCATCAGCGTCTAAGGAACCACTTATTCGCTTTCATTCAGGCAACTGTGATTACTTGAACTGCAGCGATGCCAGTAATATAATCCATGAGAACTTCACCAATCATGGTTCAGTGAAGTACTACAAGAGCTCAAACTGCTTGGACTCAAAGTCAGCAAAAGATGTCAATTTGAATATAGCGTTTCCAAACAGCTCGACGACCAAGATGGCTTCACAGCAAATTGTTGAGGTCATTGATTTAGAAAGAAACCAAGAGGATCATCTTGTCACTTTGCCTTGGCTAAGAACGAAGCCTAACCATAAAAATGCGGCTATTAGTACAGGAGTAGATTTGAATTCAGGTGGATTTATTGACTTGCAATCTTCGAATCAGGTGTCGGATACAAGTGAAGCTGGAAAACTTCCTATTCCAACAAGCGTTCAGGATATGAAATCAGCTTCGTGTTCCAATGTCATTGAGGCCAGTAGGATTGAAACAAGTGATTTCTCAAGTTGCAGAAAAATTCTTGGCTTTCCCATTTTTGAAAAGCCACATATTTCAAAGATCGAGTCTTCTTCCCTTACCTCCCCGTCTGTGTCCCTTGCGCAGCCATCTGAAGAAGTAGAAAATAACAGGAAAAGTAGGATTCTTGATATTAACTTACCTTGTGATCCAGCAGCTCCTGACTGTAGTCAAGAGATTGCACCAGAAGTTGTGCTTATAGAAAAAAAATCAGACTCTCATGTTGCCAATGTCAGACATGAGATTGATTTGAACTCTTGTGTAACTGAAGATGAAGCTTCTATGATGCCTTCTGTGCCTGGCTTGGATGTGAAGATTGTTCCAGCGTCGGATGGAAAGATTATCTCAGGAATAGATTTGGAAGCCCCTGCAGTTCCTGAAACTGAGGAGGATATATTTCCTGAGGAAGAGTTTCAAGAAAAGGCTCATGAAGCACTTCCTTTGCTCTCGTCACAGCTCAAAGCTGAAAGCCCACCAGATGAATTCGTCATAATAGCAGCAGAGGCAATAGTTGCAATCTCTTCATCCGTTCACAAGAATCATAAGGATGATGTAAATTGCAATCCATCAGAAGCTTCTATGACAGATCCTCTTCATTGGTTTGTGGAGGTAGTTTCCTCCTTCGAAGAGAATCTAGAGAGCAAATATGCTGTATTGGGAGCCAAGAATGGTCAAGATGATGAGGGGTCATCTTCAGAAGATTACTTTGAGTCTATGACTTTAAAATTGATAGAGACCAAGGAAGAGGATTACATGCCCAAGCCTTTGGTTCCAGAAAACCTGAAACTAGAAGAAAAGGTAACAACTTTATTACCAACTCGAACCCGAAAAGGCCAGGCAAGAAGAGGAAGGCAGCGGAGGGACTTCCAAAGGGACATTCTTCCAGGCCTAGCGTCTCTGTCAAGGCATGAGGTAACAGAAGATCTTCAGGCATTTGGAGAGCTGATGAGAGCAAAAGGCCATTTTTGGCATTCGGGATTAACAAGAAGGAATTCCACTAGAAGTGGGTGTGCAAGGGGGAGGAGGCGCACACTGGTTAGCTCCTCTCCGGCTGTGATAGCAAGCCCATCTTGTGCTCCTCTAATACAGCAGCTTAATAATGTTGAAGTGGGACTGGACGATAGAAGCCTAACAGGGTGGGGAAAGACAACAAGACGTCCCCGCCGGCAAAGATGCCCTCCAGGTAATTCTCCAGTTCTCCCTTTAACCTAATAATAAGAAGAGGGTTTGGTTTATCCATTGAGAATGTTATAGAGGGAAGCGAGAGATTCATTTCTATAGCTGCGGCCGGAGAAGCAGGGGTGGGAATTGAGGTTGTTGTAAGGCATTGGGGATTCTTTGTACATTTGGTAGTCCATAATCTGGGTCCCCTTGATTATCTGTGTTTTGGGTGGTTAACAACTTTGTATTATTTATAAATAATGTTGCATGATTTCTTCTTAGATATATAGTACCATAGCATTCCTTTGGTTGTGTATTCACATTGACATGTCCTTGTTCTAGGACTGAATTTTGATGATCCTTGATACTCTTATTTTAGCTGCTCCTGATTGCTCTTTGAATCTGTTGTTTTTCTTTTCTTGTTCCTTTTAATTATAATGATCCGATTATTAATGCGTGAAAAAAAAAAAAACTATATTATTCTATGTTTTTTCTTTTAATTACCCTTCAACCAATAGATACGACCTTAGAGAACGACTTTTGCTAAATGATAACATTTCGGATATGTAATCTTGAGTATTCAGAGATATTTTTGTTAAGCTTAATAATATAGTTTGACAACCAAGGGTGAAACTTTTAGTACTCAGAAACACTTTCGTTATGCTTCGGATGAAAAAATATTTGATATTTGACATTGTCTTCTGAAATCAAAACTTATATAGTATTATTTGATGGCCTAAAATATGAATTTAACTCTGAAGTTTATACGATTTGTCTTATGATACTCTCAAATTTACAAGATTTATTATGATTTTATATTTTCACATTTAAATGTCTCTCGTCTAAATGAAATAATTTTGTAAGAGTTTAATGATGATTTTACACTTTTACATTTTATTTTAAAGAGTGATATAATTATTATTAAAATATAAAATGGTCGGGTCAATCTAGATCACCCACGAATTTAAAAGTAATATAAGGCAAACTGAGTAAGCTTCGAATTAAATCTATGCATTCATAATTCCTGTATGCACATGAACGATAAAAATCGTATGGTTTAAAAAATATTAAATAGACGCGCACAGAAGGCGCGTGGTAGGAGAAGGGGAAATCTAAGTTTTGTATGGAATGAGGCAGCAGAAAGCGGCAAATAAGATGTCGGTGTCTGCGAGTGAGAGAGAGAGAGATGATATCTTTGCGGTCATAGTCAACACTTGCTTCTCAGATACTGTTTAGACCAATCACATTTCTCCAGAACTCCTTATTTCATCATCATCATGCAAAAAGCTAATACCTGCCTTCGAGTGCCACTTCTCTCTCTGTCCTTTTCTTAGCCTTTTCTATTCTTTTTTTTTTTATTATTATTATTTGATGGGACACTCTTTTACTCTCTTATTGCATTTCTAACCCCCTTTCTTTTTCTATTTTTCTCCTTAATTCCTTCTTATCTTTTTTTTTTTTTTTCTTTTTAGTTATCTATTTACTACTAATCAAAATTTCATTGATTTCAATTTGATTATATAACTAAAAATAGAAAAATAAAATAATTACCTGAAAAACTAATTAAAACAAACATACTCATCAAGTGATTATGCTGATGATGTCACAAATCACTAGTTAATCTAATCCTTTTTAATTTAAAATAAAAGAAAAAATCACCAATAACCCAAAGCTTTTGTATCCAATTATTTGTTTGCTTAGTGTCTTAACTCGAAATTAGAACAATAAGATTACCTTTTAATGGCGACTTTTATGTGTTTTTCAATGGTGAGATAGTGACTAACGATCATTTTGGAGTTACGGTTGTCTACCACTAATTATTCTCCACTACCACTTATCACATATCACCTCCTTTTCTTTCTCTACTATAATTAACATTTCATACTTACCCCCCTCAATTTCTAATATTCTCTCTTTTAACTCCTTAATCTGAATTCTATTACAAACAAAAATCACCTGAATATTTAATTCACTCCCGACTGATTTAACCACTGATTAATTAAATAATTTTTTTATTAATAACTGTAATCTTTGAATTATTTATTACTCGTTCAACTTACGAATTTAGAGAGATTAAACTCAGCCCATTTCAATTATTAAGCTTGTAGGATATGACTATAACATATCCTATGCTTGCTAATTTGTCTTCTTAATGAAATTTGTTTCTATTCTAAAAAAATAAAAAACGTTATAGCAACACCTTCACGAGACAATCTATAATTTCAAGAAAGTAAATTTGTTCCATATTTTATTAATTAAAGGTTGATTTTTGTTTCAGATTATAGATAATTTTTTTTTTTTTCAATTTTTTCTAAATTAAGAATTTCACAAGCAGTATGATTTTTATTTTAATTAAATAAAAAAGATAAATGGTATATATTATACAACAATTGATGGTATATGTTATTTTAATGTAACGCAAATCCTAAAAAACTCTATTGGACTAATTGGATATAATCAGTCAATTGGGCTCCATGTATATATCTTTGGGCTAAGCCCGAGCAAATTAAAATAAAATTTTATTGGGCTAATCTTGGCCCAGTTTGATCCATAGCAGAATAATGAATTCTATGTTAAAAAATATTTATATTTTGAATAGCTTAATTGTAGTCGTTACTGGGTAGTACCTTTCATTTTTTATACTGTTGCTTTACACAAAGGGAAAGGGGAAAAAGGGCGGGGAAGGGAAAACAAACTGAAATGAGATACAAAGAATTGTCAAGATTAAGACTAAGCTTCCTATTGCATAATCAACTCTACAAAAGACGTTTTTACTTTCAATTGAGAAATTTCTCCTACTTAACCCATCAGCTACCTCTAGATCCTCCTCAATTTGACCATAATATTGCCTCTATTCATTATATCTTTTCACATCCATGTTTTAATCTTCTGGGCTTCTGCAAAAACATCTATTCTCTCAAGAAAGTTCACGGATTACTCATTGTTGATGGCCTCGATGGTGATCTTTTATGCAATACCAAATTGGTTAGCTTGTATGGTTCTTTTGGGGACATAGATGCTGCGCGTGTGGTGTTTGATAGAATACCTAACCCAGATCTTTACTCTTGGAAAGTGATGCTAAGATGGTATTTTTTGAGTGATTTGTATTGGGAAATTTTTGGGCTTTATAGCCGTATGAAGATTTGCGTAAAAGAGTATGATAATGTTATGTTTTCGATAGTGTTGAAGGCGTGTAGTGAATTGCGCTGTATTGATGAGGGGAGGAAAATACACTGTCAAGTTGTCAAGGTGGGCGATCCTGATAGTTTTGTGTTGACTGGTCTTGTAGATATGTATGCTAAATGCGGAGAGATTGAGAGTTCTCGTCACGTGTTCGATGAAAATCTTGATAGAAATGTGGTTTCTTGGACTTCAATGATTGCGGGATATGTACAGAATGATTGCCCTGCAGAAGGATTGACTTTGTTCAATAGAATGAGAGAAGGATTTGTTGGGGGTAACCAATTTACCTTAGGCAGCTTAGTTACTGCATGCACAAAACTAGGGGCTTTGCATCAAGGGAAGTGGGTTCATGGGTTTGCGATTAAGAGCGGTGTTGAACTTAATTCTTACTTGGTGACAGCTCTTCTAGATATGTATGTCAAATGTGGAGTCATAAAAGATGCTAGGTCTGTATTTGATGAGCTATCTAGTGTTGATCTTGTCTCTTGGACGGCTATGATTGTTGGGTATACACAAAGTGGCCTTTTTCACGAGGCTTTGAAGTTGTTTATGGATGAGAAATTTGATGCCTTGCCTAATGATGTTACCATTGTAACTGTATTGTCGGCATGTGCACAGTTGGGGAATTTGAATTTGGGAAGGTCAGTTCATGGTCTTGGGATTAAACTTGGGTTTAGGCAATCTACTGTTGCAAATGCTTTGGTGGACATGTATGCAAAATGCCATATGAATAGAGATGCGTCTTTCATATTTGAGAGAATCTCTCACAAGGATGTTGTTGCCTGGAATTCTATTATTTCTGGATATTATCAGAATGGGTCTGCATATGAAGCCCTTGAATTATTTCATCAAATGAGAATGGAATTGGTCTTGCCTGATGCAGTCACACTGGTCAGTGTTTTCTCAGCATGTGCTCTCCTTGGTGCTCTCCGAGCTGGTTCTTCTCTCCATGCTTACTCTATAAAGGAGGGTCTTTTATCATCTAATGTCTATGTTGGCACTGCACTTTTGACCTTTTATGCCAAATGCGGGGATGCTAATTCTGCACGAACAGTTTTTGATAGTATGGGAGAGAAAAACAATGTCACCTGGAGTGCAATGATTGGTGGTTATGGAATTCAAGGGGATGCCAACGGTTCCCTTGCACTTTTCAATGATATGTTGAAGAAAGACTTGAAACCGAATGAAATAATCTTCACAACCATTTTATCTGCCTGCAGTCATACAGGGATGGTTGGGGAGGGATGGAATCTTTTCATTTCAATGTGCAAAGAACATAACTTTGTGCCTTCGATGAAGCATTATGCATGCATGGTTGATCTATTGGCTCGATCTGGCAGGCTTGAAGAAGCCTGGGAGTTTATAGACAAAATGCCAGTTCAACCCAATGTTAGTTTGTTTGGTGCATTTCTCCATGGATGTGGGCTGCATTCAAGATTTGATCTTGGAGAGATAGCAATAAGGAGAATGCAAGAGTTACATCCTGATGAAGCTTGTTATTATGTGCTTATATGCAATTCGTATGCTTCTGATGGAAGATGGAATCGAGTTAAGGAGGTAAGGGAGTTGATGAAGCAAAGAGGATTAACAAAATCCCCTGGGTGTAGCCTCATGGAGATGGATATTGGCTATGATTTCTCATTGCCCAGAGTTGCGTCTCTTGCATAGGCCATAACTTATGCATATAACAGAAGGTGCATTCACAGGCAATACAAGGAAATACCAATTTGAAGAGACAATTATAGGATAAAAATCAGTTCATCTACAGAATTTTATGCTAGGAGGATTTTTTTTGATGTGGCTCTAAAGTTCTTTGTATCTGTGAACATGGCCGTGAAGAGAAGAATTATAATGCGCTACCTGACCATTGAGAAGTAAGTGGAAAGTTTCCCATCTGGTGATCACTCCATCACAACTTCATGAGTGAGAAGAAAATGCATATTTTCAAGGGGCTGGTTCAGTTGAATGAACAGGATTTCATGCGGCTGGTAAGTGATTTGTAAATTGTAATGGAGGAATAAAATTTACAACTAGCGGAGTATCATCACAATTTGTGAGCGAGATGCTACTAGATGCTTTGGAGAACCCTTGCTGAGTTACACTTAATGTATACACTCTCCGATTCCAAATACTTGTCACATTTGTAAATTTTACAAATGATAAATTATTTTTTTACATTTTTATCTTTTGTATATGACCAACAATAATTGATCAATTATTTAATAATTTATTGTAACTTAGACATACTAAGAATAGTATAATCAATTCACTCAAATAAATCAATTTTACATATAAAAGCAAAAAATCTTAAAAATTATTGTTACTAGTGAGATAATGTGCAATGTTATCAAAATTTGCAATTTTAAGGCATAAAAGGCTCTCTGCAATATTTGCGTGCTACAATTTTTCATGAAAAGTATATAAATTTATGTAATTATTCTCTGTTCTTTTTTTGTATGCATTTTCAATTCAGCAAAGCTGCTGATGAGAGCAGAACTTTCCCTTATAAATTCATAAACTATTTTGGATTAGAAATATGAGTTCTTTCCTCTTGGATTTACATTTTAGACATGTTCATTAGGTCCCTGGTTATATACTGTAAGGGGATCTAGCTTGAAAAAACTGAACTCCTAAGTGCAGTCCAATTTTCTCATCTTTAGATTATTCGTTCAGTTACCTTCCTGATTCAATGGCCGGTGACTATTTGTTTTTTGAAATTACAAATGCTAAACTAACTCGATCTCATAATCTATGAAGTACCAACATCTACCTAACATGCCTTTCAGAGTCAAGAGGAATTATCTACCATCATATATCGAAGATTAGAAGAGAGAAATAAAATAAGACTAGCTTATAAATTTGCAATATATTCTGCTTTGGTTTCATTATTAGCATAGTAATTAAAGGCGTAAGGCGCACTAAGATGCAAAGGGCTGCTAGAGCCTAGGCGCTAGCCTGAGTGAAGTGAGGCGCAAAAAAAAAAAAAAAAAAAAAGCCAATTTTCTGCTTGGTTTCATTATTAGCAAGTAATTAACGGCGTCAATGGCGCACTAAGATTGCAAAGGATGCTACGGAGAGCCTAGGCGCTCTGCACCTGATGTGGAAGGTGTAGCGCCGCAAAAACATAAAAAGGAAAAAAAAAAAAACAAATAAAAAAAAAAAAAAAAAAAACACAAAAAAAAAACAATAAAAAAAAAAAGAAAAAAAACAAAAAAAAAAAAAAACAAAAAAAAAAAAAAAAAAAAAATAAAAACAAAAAAAATCAACAAAAGAATAAATAAAAATAACAAAAAAAAACTCACCACATCGAAACAAAAACAAGAATTTTTTTGAAACTAACAAATACAAAAAAAAAAAAAAAATAAAAAATACTTACAAATAAAGTAAGGATAATACAAGAATCAAATTAAAATCTGAAAAATATATTTATATAATATCAATACAAAGAAACAGAAAGCTAGTAGAAAACCATGGAAAAAAAAAAAAAAAAAAAAACAAAACAAAACAAAATAAAAATAAAAGGATAAAATACATAAATCTGAAAAATATATTTTATAATATCAATAAAAAAAAAGTAGAAAACATGGAAAGAAACACACATAAATCAGAAAAAAATGGCAACATGACAAGTTATGCTTTAAGACATTAAAGTTAAGACAGAAAAGAGTATAGTAAAAAAAATGAAAAAAAGAAAAGAAATAGAAAGCAAATATAAGAGGAAATATTGAAAGAATTAGATCTAGATGGAATGGGGCTAAAGACTAGATTGCAAGAGGTGAGTGCTAGACGAAGGAGCGGAGGTTGTATCACGAATCACAAAGCATATCACCAGTTTTTGTGTTGCATTTTATTTCTTTATTTAATTTAGTTTTTGTTAAAGATGTTTGCTAGCATAGCTTTATATGAAAAAAAAAAAAAAAAAAAACCCCACGGTGATTTGTTCTGGAAAACGCTTTATATTGAAAAAAAAAAAAAAAAAAACCCCAGGTGATTTGTTCTGGAAAACAAAAAATAGAAAGGCGCGCCTTTCTCAAGCCTTAGGTGCAAAAAAGGCGCACGCCTCTACCCTGAGGTGATAGCCTGAGTGAAGTTGCCCGCCTCAGCAGAGAAAGCCTTAGGCGCAAAAAAGGCGCACGCCTCTACCCTGAGGTGATAGCCTGAGTGAAGTTGCCCGCCTCAGCATTGTTGAGGCGGAAGCCCTTGAGCCTTAATTAAGGCGCGCCTTTAATAACTATGATTATTAGACAGATGGGACCTTCTTATTGTAAATTTTCCAGAGCCAAACTTTGAAAATTTTCCAAAAAGTTGTAAATTTCTTTTATTGGCCAATGAGATATATCTCCTGCTCCAAATCTATAAACTTTCTTATCCAGCTCTATAATACTGTATCCTGGGACCTTCTTCAGACCTATCCATTTCATTACTGATCTCACCTTCCTGGATTCATCCCACTTACCTTCTTCTGCATAAATATTAGACAATAGGGTGTAGTATCCAGTATCATCTGTTTTCATATCTACTAGATCTTCTTCAATCCTTCGGATCATATCCGTTCTCCTGTGTATTCGACATCCATTAAGTAAAGCACCCCAGATGCCAGCTTCTGCAGGAAATGGCATTGAATTTATTATTCTATAGGCTTCATTGAGATCACCAACACGACTTAGAAGGTCAACCATACAAGCGAAGTGTTCTGGGTTAGGTTCCACTCCGAAATGCTTCATTGAGTTAAAATAAAACTTTCCTCCTTCCACATATCCTGAATGACTGCAAGCTGATAAAATATTCATGAAGGTAATGTCATTTGGTTTTATTCCCAGCTGAACCATTTGAGAGAAGAGTGAGATAGCGGCATCAACATCACCATGCATTCCATATCCAGCAATCATGACACTCCAGGACACCACACTTCTTTCTGGCATGCTATTGAATACTTCTTTTGCTGTTAGAAGGTCTCCACACTTCGCATACATGTCAACCAGAGCAGTATTAATATAAAGATCCTCCTTTATTCCATAGGTAATGAGTTTGTGGTGAACCCATTTTCCCTTTTCAAGATGTCCAATTTGGGAGCAAGCTTGAATTGCAGTCAAGAAGGTTACTTCATTCATGTCAAGACAGTTCAGGTACATTTGATCGAAGAGACTAATTGCCTCCAGTGAATTACCATTCTGAGAAAACCCACAAATCATAGAATTCCATGCTACAACACTTTTAGGTTGGATATTACCAAATATCAAGTAAGCTAAATCAACAAGACCACATTTTGAGTACATGTCAATTAGTGAATTCTGAACAAACTCATCCACAATATGCCTTTTGATGGCATAACTATGCATTTGCTGCCCAAGCTGTAATAAACCTATATCTGCACAGGCTGAGAGAGAACTTGACAAGCTAAAAGAGTCTGGTAGTAGTCCTTGTGTCTGCATTTGCACAAATATTACTAATGCCTCCTTCAACAAGCCTTGTGATGCATAAACCGATATAAGCATGTTCCATGATACAATATTTCTCTTTCCAATGGCGTGAAGAACTGTCTCACAATGCCTTAATTTACCCCATTTAGCATATAATTCTATTAATGCTGGCCCTAGAAAATCATCATTGAGTTCCATATGCTTAACTACATAAGAATGAACTGACCTCCCTTCTCTAAACATGCTAAACCCAACACAAGAACTTAAAACAGCCATTATTGTAACTGCATTAGGCTCTGCTTTAGATTTTAGCATCTCAACAAAAACTCCTAGTGCTTCTTTAAACCAACCAAATTGATTATAGCAGGAGATCATTGCTGTCCATGAAGCAACACTCCGGTTAAATATATTTACAAATATCCTCTCTGCACTAGATAAATCATTGCACTTACAATACATGACAACAAGAGAATCATTCAATGGCCCACAAATTTGAATTCCCCTCCTTACTATATAACCATGTACTGACCTAGCCATGGTCAAACCTAATGCACCACAAGCCTCAGCAATGCTCAACATTGTCACCGAATCCAATTCAACATCTTTTAATACCAACAATCGAAACATTTCCAATCCTTCATTTACCTCCCCATTTTCAAAATAACAAGAAATCATTGAACTCCAAGAAACTACATCTCTTATAGACATATTATCAAACACCTTCCTTGCATCATTTATGCAACCTAAATCTCCATACATTCCAAGAAGCGAGGTCTCAACAACAGAATCAAGATCAAAACCGCATTTAATTATCCTTCCATGTATCTTTTCACCAACACCCAGATCACCAAAACCACCACAAGCTCTTAAAACTGAAGAAAATATGAAGTCATTAATCTGAATTTCTTTATAAACCATCTTGTTATACAGCGAAATAGCTTCCCCAAATAAACTGGACCATACATGGCACTTAATAAGCACACCCCACATGAAAGAATCCGGGTTTTGGAAGGCTTCAAAGGTAAATTTGGAATATCGAAGAGAACCCATTTGAGCATAAGACTCAATAAGCTTGGTAGAAGCTTGTGGGTCATTGTGGAGACCAGTGACCAAGAGATGAGCGTGGAGTTGGACTAATGATCTTAAGCTTCTGCAAGACCTAAATAGTGGCATGTACAGTGTCATTGTTCTTTTCTTAATCTGAACACGAGCTAATATTGTTTCTAAAGAAAATGACACCTGCAGGTAAATGGTACAGATGAAAGAAGAATGGAAACCTTTCACTAAAATGGAAACTAAAAAGCGCCAAACCAGTTTACATACTAACCGCACACCGCTCTCCAGGCTACATTAGTTTATGTTATTTTTGCTCCACTTTAGTTTTTGCTCTCCCCACTTCTCATGTATCTAACGATTTGAAGTTATTTCTCTCATTGTTTTCGCTTCGGTTGTCTGGTAATAGATTTTGCCTGCTTTTGAGCATTACACGTGTTCATAGGAATAGTATCAACTCAGCTTGGGCTGAATGGAGAAAAAAAAGAACATTTTCTATACATTTTTTTTTTTTATTTTCACATCGGGCTTGAAAAAGTTTTAAGCTCGTCTGATCAGGTCGGTCCGGTCTCGGACCAGGGAGAACCAAAAAAAAAAAAAAAAAAAAAAAAAAAAAAATGTCTGATCAGCGTCGTCGTCCGGTCTTCGGACCAGGGGAGAACTCAACAATAAAAAAAAAAGAAAAAAAAAAAAAGAAAAAAGAAAAAAAAAAAAAAAAAAAAAAAAAAAAGAAAAAAAGAAAAAAAGAAAAACAAAAACCATTCCAGTCTGACCCATGCGGATAAATTTTATCCATACGATACATAAATACTATTTAAACTTAACGTATGGTCCATAAAATTATATAATTGTGCTTTGGAAATTACAAATATGATAATTTTCAAAGAAATTTTTTTTTTAAAAGGACTAGTTTCTTCGAAGGAACTGTGTGTTACTCTGAGAAAGAATGGGGCAGAGAAGGATTGAGGAGGTAATTCTATGTTGATCTACATTATATATAAAGGTATTCTGCCAAATTTCCTGCAAAATGAAAATTCAAAACATCATCAGAATAAATAATTCATGTGAAACCAAGACAAGTTACTAAATACCACAAGATCAAATACTTAAAAGCTTACATGGACAAGAAACCAACTCTCTCTTATTTAAGCATCACCTCCAGCGTCCTCATCTGGTGGATCAATTGGCACTTCATGCCGAGGCCTATTGTACTTTTCGCGTAGCTGCTTAATTGGGATAAAATCTCCTGCTGTATCCGCCCCATAGAATAAAAATGATACATAGGGATGGTCGAACCTACCCTGTACATTGTTAAGTATGGGTTATGTAAAAACAAGCCAAGCAGCTGGGTTCATGTTTTGAGATTTTCAATCACCGATTATCTCACCGTATCCGGTCGTTCAGGGGCCACCAAATTGTCCTCAGCAACTGCAACAAAGAAACATCATTCAAACTTTCACCAGAGGTATTAGCATGACTATTAAAAAAACTTGCAGAAGCACGCACATCAGTTGTTCCATCCAAGCCAAAGGACTTATTATAAATACATAAGATGATTGGAAACCAGTTCCAAATTCCAAAGGAAAAAAAATTCTGTGGAGATACACAGAAATAAAGTCATAAACTGCAGATAATGCTGATTACCATAAGCCACCAGTAGATTGGGATCTGCATGTACATCCACCAAGACCTGGAAAAATAAATAAAGAATTTGATAAGCAATGTTCATTCTACTGCTCAAGGCCAGCGTGGGCAGAAATGTACAGATGAGGGGAATGCGATCATTAACTATACACCTTTGACATTAACATCTGTTAAAGTATTCTCTGCAGTAGCCAAAAAAAAAAAAAAAAAAAAAAAAAAAAAAAAAAAAAAGATAATCATCCATAATAATTGGACTTATAGCTGCGATCCTGGAAAAAAAAAAAAAAAAAAAACATTCCATAATAATTGGACTATAGCTGCATCCTTGGAACATCCATGTTCTTCAACCATTATAAAAACAAATGATTTTTTTTTTTGACACAACTAAAGAATCCATTTTCCTGTTCATTAAATCAACTAAATACAAGCACTTAGTATGCTACTATGTTCAATTATTATCAATGAACAGTTAAAAATTCCAAAGTCAAAAGGCTGAAGATGACATTGTCTTGCATATTTGAACAGTTAACGAAGAGTGCTAGAAGTGAATAATAAAGGTAGGATCAATTAACCTGATAAAATGGCTGATTAGAACCCCGAGGCAACTTTTCAATCTGCGCAGTTTCCATCCATGAACTTGACTCACAGCATACTGGATCCATTCCACATACCACGGCTCGATAGCCTGAGATCATAATATAGCCTTCAGTGATCAAAGAAAGAAGGAACGAAAAGAGGCCTAGAAAATCCTCTGATCTACTGTTCTTTAGATTTCTTGGAGCATCCAAGAACTTCCATATGTTATTCTATATACTATTTCAATTTAAGCAATGATCCAGACATTTCTTTTTGAAGAAAGGCAGACATCTTAGTGCTTTCAATCATGCCAAATACATATGGAAATGTAGCCAGAGGCATCGACATTCTTCCATGAGGAAACAATATCAACAGAAAGAAAAGGAGTTTCACAAGGGATTTTGTAATGTCATTAACCGGAATTATTAACTTTTAAAGATAACTATGGTAAAGGAAAGTTAGCATAGAAAGCAAAAGCACTGTGCCATCATGGGTTCTGGAAAGACGAACAAGAGAGCAAAAGCATGAATTGTGTATCACCAGTTGGATAACTGAATTCTCAATTCTCACAGTTGCAATTTGATTTTTTTTCTTATCTTCAAGTATTCAGAGAATAGTAGGACAGCTAAATTCAATCCATGCATACTGGGTCCTCAATCCTAGCATTCTATTCGCAATATTGATAAACTCTTTATAAATATTACTCCACAAAATTGAACCTTATTATGGGAACTAGCAAGTATGTGAAAGAATAAATGATGCAATAGAAGCAATGCTTATATACCAAAAATCTTATGGGTCACTTTTTGTCCTAAACGAAAAGCATACTGTGCATTTTCATATGCCAGAGCTTTTGCTGATGCAGCTAAAGACTCTGCCTCCATTTTGGAAATTTGATCCCGTAATTGAGCTGCCATAGCATAATTCTCATTCTCAATTGCATTCTGCAGGTCTGCACTGCAAGGAGAGAAGCAGAAGCAATTTAGTTGAATTATGTCATGACAGAAACGGAACCAAACAAATAGGTTGTAGGAAAAAAGTAAATTTGATAGCTTAGCAGCTTTCCCCCATGCTTTGAGGATTTAAGCCCAAGTATATATAAACGTAGTAGAATCTGGGCCTCACCGTAGTCGTATCATACTTATAGCCTTATCTTGAGCTTCACTTTTTGACGATGATCCCCTTTTCACTTCCTGTTGTTGAATAACCTCTGCTTCAACCTTCCAAGAAGAGAACTCATTCAGCTTGCTGCCAAATCATTTGATAATTCTATTTATGAGCAATATTGTTCACTTGAATGCAGACATTAGTTGGTACATGCAAACATGTACAGTATGACAATAGTGTAAAATATTACTCAAAAATGTTAAACGCCAAATATCTTGGTCATGTAATTAGAATTGTTTCCATTACTTAAATATATAAAACTTTCAGGGGAGAGAAAAGCAAAAAGATCCTGTACAATAAAAATGAATCTGATGGAAGTTTAAATTACTACTACAACAGTTAAATGCGAAAAACACATGTTAAGAAGTCCATTAAATAAAACCTAACCTCAGTGAGCTTTTTTCTCAATTGTTGTGCAATGTCATACTGCTCTGTATTCAAAGCATACTACAATTTCATAGCACAGAATATCAAAAGTTTGTGTGAGTCACAACCAAACAAAAGATCAAAATGAACTCTGTATTCTATAAAATAAAAAAAAAATAAAATAAAGCTGAAAAAACCTGAACTCGAGTAGCTAAATCTAGCTGAAAAAAGAAAATCAAGATATCCTCATTAGCATTCTCACTACGCTCACAGCTCGCATCCAACTCTTGCTTACCACCCCCTTGGTTGAACAACCATCCTGCTTCAACTCTTAAATTTCTCCTGCTTAACGTGTTGGGGTTGCCAGCAAGGTATAATCTTGGAACAAACTGATGCAAAGGGCATTGCTTATCAGCCCCAAGGACTCTATGGGCTTTCCCCATTAGCTTAAAACGTCTTCCCCATAATGGGATAGATTCACAAATCCCACAGTTTCTAGATACTGTTAAAGTACTTAATGACAGACTTTGTATCATTTCTGTCAACAATCTGCAAAAAATTTTGCATAACAATAATAAGAAGAAGAAGGATACGTACGCTAAGCTCGGATTCAGAGATTTGTTTATTCTTAACTTCTTTCAAGTGAAAAAAAGAACTCGCAAATACCCGCGTCATTTAGTTGAGCAGAAATAGCATATCTACAAATAATATTCTAATTGTTCAATCAATTTCTAACATTTCCTCAAAGACCAAACACAAAACAACTTAATTAACGTAAATTTGAATCCCATGAATGATCAAACTTCAGATTCACAACTCTCTTTATTTTACGTTATAAAAGTTAAAAAAGGGAAACGGAAAATCTAAATACATAGAGAACTTACACGGAGAAAATGATGCGGGCTAAGTCGCCCACTGCCGAGGCGTCGTCTTCTTCGATGAGTACACACTCCAGTGTACAGAGAGAGAGAATTTGAGGGTAGCAGAACTCCAAAAGCTCCAATCGCAAGCACTGTGGATTTGCGGCATCAAACGTGGTGTCTTACAGATATTATGACACGCGTCCTTTTTCAAATCATTTTAGCAAGGTTAATCGCCCTTACTTTTTAGGCTATGTTGGCATAAAGATAAAATTGGAAAGTAAAGGAAATAATTAAACAAACTAATTATTAATTTGTCGATCATGCAAGGTAATAATTAAACAAACTAATTATTAGGCGTGGTTTAATTGATTTTTTTATTTTTTTTACAAAATTTAGAAAGTTTAGATATAAAGTTTGAATTATTTCTTCTGTCATAAAAGTTATCACCAATTTAATAAAATATGATTAAAAGAGGAAGATTATTTCTACTGTATAGTCCATAATATTATGGCTTCCATGTATAAAAGAAAAATTAATTATTAATTTTGTTAAAAGGAAAAGAAAATAATAAGAGAAAAAGAAAACTTTTCAAATTGGATGGGAAAAATACACAAAGAACTATAATAAATCAATTAATAATATACTAATATAAGAGAAACAATTTTATATTTTTTTTATACCCAAACACAAAATAAAAAAATTCCTTTGTTTTTTTTTTTCTCCTCCTTTTCTTTACCAAGCATAGTGTTATTGGTATTTTTTTTCCTCCATCCTTTCTTGCCATATCCAATGTCAAAATTTTTTTTAATTATATTTCAAATAAAGTGTAATCTGGCAATTCTAAAAAAGAACTTAAATTTATTAAAAAGTTTAAATAACACCACTAAATATAATTAACCCTTTACATTTTTTATTTTGAAAGGGATCGACCCTTAAACATTAATAATGGATCGTAGCAATTTGCAAGTAACATCATCCTTGAGATGTAAATTCCATGCAGCTCCCTTAACTGATCAACTATCTCATTAGATAAACAGAATTTGAAATATGATTCTCTCACCTTCACCAAACGATAATAATAAAGAAATTAACAGAATTTAAAAAAAAAAAAAAAAAAAAAAAAAAAAAAAAAAAAAATCCATAGCTCCCTTAACTGACTTCAAAAACTATCTTGCATTAGTTAAACAGAATTGGAAATTATGATTCTCTCACCTTTCACCAAACGATAATAATATAAGAAACTTACAGGAATTTAAAAAAAAAAAAAAAAAAAAAAAAAAAAAAAAAAAAAAAAAGAAAGAAAAGAAAAGGCAAGAAGGAGAACAGAAGAGAAATGATATACAAACAAGAGATCTAAATCACTTCACAACCCAGTAAGGTAAAATGCCTTTTATTATTGAGAACCAACAAATAATACAGACTAACATTATTATTTCCAACTTCGAAACCAATGCATTATCTCTCAAGAAATCAAATAAAAAATAATAAGAAAAACGAAATACTATTTGTACAGATTTTAACACCAAATGCAACTGAAATAAAAAGAAAAAAAAAAAAAAAGAAGGGAAAAATCAGATACAATTTGTACACTATTATCACCAAATGCAGTAGCTGCCCGCTTAACGAAGAGCCGAATGCGGGACAAAAAACTGAAAAACCACAATCTGTGGACTAGGGTTGTCACCCAAGTGGAACTGCATATGAATCCCTATGGTCGATGATACACATATTTTGTTCTGGGATCCACAATAAGACCCTTTCCTCCACTTACTTCTAAATCATGCCTGCATTAATAGCATTTACAAAATATTAGAATCTTCTTATTTTAACTGCACTTCGGAGTTTGGACCACGTCTGAAGAATTCAGAATAAAGGGATCAGAATCAGAAGGCAGAGCAACTGCTCCCGAGGAACATTGGTTGTATTGATATGAATGAATTATGAAATACAAATTGAAAATAAATATAAGATGGTAAAAGATAAGGAAAACTTAACTGGAAAACAAAGTCTGGAATGGTCAACTGCTCCCGAGGAACATGCCTGAACAGCTGTAGAAGCCGATCAACATATACCACTTTTTTCCAGGTCTAGAGATCAATTTCAAAAAAATAGTCATAGTAAAATTGCTGCAGGTATTGCCCCATTCACAATAAGAAATAGAATTAGACATACCACATTATCAACAAATAATTGCAGAGCAAATATCGTAGCCTTCAGGTGAAAAGAAGGATGAAGAACATATATAGCCTGCATGGGCAGATGAGGATTTCAAAGCTAAGTAGGAAGACAAATATTCCCTAATTAGATAAAAAGTACTGTTGCATACATGCAGGTTCCGCTGGTGTTTCCGACCAAGTATTTGTTGCAACCTTCTCATCCATCCCAGATCTGGTTGACTGTATATAACAGGAAAAAGTATATATAGAGAAGGCTTGTATATTTCAAGAAATGAGTTTCACATGATTGGTAATGTCAATAATTTTTTTCTAACTGATAAACTAATAGATCTGTCTAGATGCACAAGTACTGTTTCCATTCTTTGTTCAGATAAGCAAAACCATTTTAAGACCACTCTCCAATTATTGGACCATTATCCACTGGGTAAAATAGAAGTCATACATGAAATATAACAAAATTCTATCCAATAAAGCATTTTATAAAATAAAATGTGGAGAGTTCTATATATTACCCAGATAATCAAATATTCTGATTAATCTTTCAAGATGACAGAAAAGCGTGCCAAGCTTGTGATAACAATCAATTCCCACTTCTCACACAAAAGAAACTCGATAAGAATTTAATATACTATTAAAATCGTAAAGTTGAAGAACAACATAAGGTGAAGAATAATAGGGCTTGATATTTCATTATAGTCAGTTTAATAAAACCAATCAGCCTCTTTTCACATGTATTGGTTTTATCATGCATGAATATCATATAATCAAATATTCTGATTAATCTTTCAAGATGACAGAAAAGCGTGCCAAGCTTGTGATAACAATCAATTCCCACTTCTCACACAAAAGAAACTCGATAAGAATTTAATATACTATTAAAATCGTAAAGTTGAAGAACAACATAAGGTGAAGAATAATAGGGCTTGATATTTCATTATAGTCAGTTTAATAAAACCAATCAGCCTCTTTTCACATGTATTGGTTTTATCATGCATGAATATCATATAATCAAATATTCTGATTAATCTTTCAAGATGACAGAAAAGCGTGCCAAGCTTGTGATAACAATCAATTCCCACTTCTCACACAAAAGAAACTCGATAAGAATTTAATATACTATTAAAATCGTAAAGTTGAAGAACAACATAAGGTGAAGAATAATAGGGCTTGATATTTCATTATAGTCAGTTTAATAAAACCAATCAGCCTCTTTTCACATGTATTGGTTTTATCATGCATGAATATCATATAATCAAATATTCTGATTAATCTTTCAAGATGACAGAAAAGCGTGCCAAGCTTGTGATAACAATCAATTCCCACTTCTCACACAAAAGAAACTCGATAAGAATTTAATATACTATTAAAATCGTAAAGTTGAAGAACAACATAAGGTGAAGAATAATAGGGCTTGATATTTCATTATAGTCAGTTTAATAAAACCAATCAGCCTCTTTTCACATGTATTGGTTTTATCATGCATGAATATCATCTAATCATCAACACCACATATCACTTAATATCACTATATAGAAACAAGAGGCATCAGAAGACAAGAAAAAATAACTGAAACTACAGTCCGCATCTCTATATAGAGTTACCATTATTCATCCCAGTCGCAACAAAACCTCCATGGCATATTTATACCCCTAATTACCTTCACCACATAAAGCACAAACCGCTCTAGTCAAGACACCGAAGCAAAAATTGCTCCACAACAAACCCATTTACAGACGGCCCTCTCAACTATCTACCCCACCACGGAAACTGAAACAGAGAGATTGATTGAATCATAAATATAGGCCGACAAAAAGAGAATCCCAAAGACATGGTAAAATATATGAACTTGTACTACAAAGAACTGAATTTTACAAAAATGATAGTGCCAAAAATATATATACAATTTCCACAGCCCTACCAATCACCAGCTTGTTACACCAGCAGCCTTCAAAGGAAAAAACTAAACTCTGGTTCATATAACACATGCAATTCTCTACACTCTTCTATCAATTAGATTAATTTTCTTAAGATCAAGTCAATTAAAATCATCTCTAATTATTATAAGTAATACTCAACTCTTAAACCTTGTGCATCATCCCACATATCTCCCTGCAATCTCAGAAAGATTAGAGATTTGCCTTCTTATTCTTAATGTATCTGTTTTCTACTATCTGAAGAAGTTATTACTCCCAGCAAACAATAATGCGACCACCAAGATCACATAATCCAAGCATTTTAGCACAATTAAATCCACTCTGCCGCTTGAGCATTTTTTCCCATTGTCCTGCGCCTCTCATCTGATCCTTAATCAACGACATGATAAGCTGATCCAGATATATGAACTCCAAGACGACGAGTTCTGTAAGATAATACTCATCCACTCAATAATTAGGTGAATATAACAATTAGCCAAGTAAAAGTCTAATGATCATGAACCTAAGTCCCACATTAAATATATATGGACAAGCGAAAATACAAGAGCATAAAAATTTGGACTATTGCACTCACACCAAACGCAAACACGCATATACAATTAAATACAAACTGCTCAGCATTTGGAAGCATTTCATGCTAAAAAGCAATTCCAATTATACCTCTTATTAAGCAAAATAAAATATTCATAATCATGGAAAGCAGCTCCAACCCATTATGAAAGAGGGAAATTATTTAGACAGAAAACCAGAAAAACAGCGACAGCTGAATATAGTTGATGTATTCTTTAAAGTCAAAAGAAGAGAATTTCTTGCCAGAATCCTCTTCAGCCATTGCTCCACAGAATTCAAAAGCAAGGGGCAAGAAAACTAAAATCAAACCATTAACACCTTCATTCTTCACTATTCCACAGCCTCTTGCTTAGTGGTAAACCAAATTAGCAAATACTTTTGCTATTAAAACGTCAATCTATTTTAAAATGATAACTTACACAGCAACTAACTTAGCAGCTTAAAAGAGCTTAAGTATAATAAACCTCTCAAAACTTATGGTAATTCAGAACCAAAGAGTTTTAATTTCTTCTAAAATATTCAAAACTAACCATCTCAGTTGCAATAACACCATATCCTACATAGTAAGCACAATGCATAAACCAAAAGATTCACTCATGAAAGCGAGGAACATATGAAATTTGGCAAGTTAGGCTAAAACAGAAGTCACATGACATAACCTAGGAGCACTCCAATAAAGGTGCACTGCCTTCATTTACTTACTATCAACACAAAATACATATCATCGCAGAGAAGGAATTATACTCTTCTCACACCAAAAATGCCAAAACGTTAAAAACACTAAGCTTTACTTACTATAGTTCACCTCCCCAATTCGTATACTTATCTGTAATTTAGAATGAAAACAAAAACAAAAACTAAAAGGACGCCAAAACCAAACTAAAAGCAACCCATGACCAAACTATACAACAAAATTCGATGATAATGATTATTCTTGAAGAATAATTAACTTCAAACTAACTTCCGTACCAAGCCCAACATCACGACAGGAATGTCAACTTCAGCTTGGGTGGTTCTTTGAAACAATTTTTCTTGGGTAAAGGCTTTCTGATTTTACATTTCATCTATTATTGTCTCGCATTTCTCAATCACAACGATCAGCCAGGATTGAGATGCCACCTCCTCCTCATGTTGTCTCGAGGAAAGTAAAGTGCCAGCATCTACATGTTAAAAACACAAAATGGAATTATCATAAAATTCGATCGCTTCTATTAACAGCCATACCCATAATAAGAAAAAGAAAAAATGCCCATGTCACATTTGAGCACTCATAACATTTTTTTTAAAGAAATTAGACATTTCACCTCTGAAGGCAAACACAAATGAAATACCTCTCTTATTATTTCAGTATCCAAGTAGTGTGGCTGTAACAACAGACAACAGCTGCTGATTTTATTCTTTTGCTTCTCCAAGAAAACGCCGACCGAAACTTCCCATGACAATAAAATTAAACTTTAACTCTATTTCATAGAAAAAAAATGACCATGATCACACCAAAACTGAGCATGAGTAGATCACCATTAATGGCATCATATCGATTAATTTCATCCAAAACAAGTCCCTAAAAATGGTGGGTATTAACTTTCTAAGAAATTGAGGACAGCACCAAAAAGCATTCCAGATGAACATTTGGGAATCCTTACTATTATGCAACATGTGCAGCTTTTCAGTGGCGTCTCCGTATTATATACAGCCTATATCAATGCTGCAAGTTTTAGTTCAATTGAATTAACCACATACCTAGGAGAAGCACAATTAATACAAACAGGCCAATACATTAGAACAAATAGTGTTTCATTGCTCCCAACAACCTCTTTTGAAGCCATTTTTCAATTCATTATACTTCAAGCTTCAAGACCTGCATAACAGTGTACTCCCACAAGCATTTCTCTGTCAGCTGTCTTATTTATATATATTCACTGCATACTATTTAGGTGGATCACGAACTGTTTGTTTTGTCATATACTTCTACCTAGTCACAAAAATGACAGGCGCTGAATACAATTAAAGCTTTGCAGCACAATGCATACCTTTGGAAAAAAAAAAAAGAAAAAAAAGCACCAAATAAGCCAGTATAAGTTAACAAAAAATATAAAGATAGGTTGAAAAGTGAAATATTTGTTGTATACATTGCTAAAACATTACAATTACGCTTTAAGTAGGATTCACTATAGCATAAAGAACATATATTTTCAATAGCAAGAAATCCCATAAAACCACTTTTTTTCCCAAATAAGGCGGACCCCCACTTCTTTCAAATTGCTTGCGATAAACATGACTAATTTCATCGGATTTTTTATAGCTTCTGGCTTTGGATCTTTATATTTGCAAAAACCAACAGACAAACCTAATAAAAAGATAACACATCCTACACAAATCACAATAACAGAAAAATACATGCAATCATTACAACAAACATGAAAACTTTGCATATAAGAATAAGATGCATCATTAGAGTTCTAGATATAACATTGCACATGGGAGAAAAAATACCAGATATCTATTAGTTTCATATGAGCATACATCATGAATCAGAATTAAAAAGGAACAACGCAATAGAAATGCACTGAGATACAGACCTTAGCAGTGAGCCAATACGCACATATATAACTTTCGCTCATCCCTTGTTCGACATCCACTCCTGTCAGAAAACAATTACTTCAATCAGTTATCTTTGCTTCACTCTCAATGAGACATGCACATTAAAAATCTTTACGCAAGATTACTTTTTGTATTATGACTCCTTATTCACACAATATAAAGACATGTCATATGTGTATTAATAAATATGTTGTCTCATCATTACTAATATGCCTTGAGGCTCACCCTTATCAACTTAAAATCAATAACTAAAAAATTCATGATGATAAGCCAAAAAAATAATGCCATAGCAATACCAGTGTAGCCTACTCTCTGCAAGCGCTCAGGTCCCAGCTGCTTTCACAGACCAGAACTGACAAGATATAGTGCATCACACCAGGTTCTGACAGCACCCCCACAATTAAACTGCATCTAAAAAGGGTCTTGGAATATGACTCATTGTTTAATTACTTATGTTTACTTCAGAAAACTCAATAGGATGATAATAAATATCGCGGATCCAGGATCAGAGGCTCAAATCAACTTCTTGCAATTTAAAACTTTCTGTGATGGCTTTTCCATAAGTAAAACAATTAATCTTCAGTATTTTAAACCTTAACCTCGTTGTAGAATTCCACAACATATGCATTTCAAAACCATCAAAGACTCTCATGGTCTTTCCCTCCATAACTTAATTTTGAGTTGATTTTATATGACAGGAAACCTGATACCATTCCATAGCCACTACTTCTCCCCTCAGTAGAATGTGTTAAGGATCAGGTAAGAATATGAATTGTAAATGAAGGATCCATCAAGTCTAAGCAAATGATCACTATTCTTCTGCATCCACTCCACCGTGGAACTTCGTCCCAAATCACAAATAACAGAATCCCCACTATCATTGAGTGATCCCACCTCGATTGCAAGTGGCATTATGCCCCCACTCATACATGTTCTGGAAATGTCAAATCTCCAAAGATCCTCACATAAATAGCAGCTTTTAGCCACACGTGTAACTGTCCTCACTAGTTACAACCACAGTCAAAAACGCTAT